ATAGCTTGCCTCCACCAGTGTGTGAATGTGAGAGTGAATGAATAGTGGAACTGTATAGCGCTTTGAGGGCCCCGAAAGCGCTATATAAATCCAATCCATTATTATTATTATTATTATTATTATTACTGCACCAACTGATAGGACAATTTAGCAACTGCTAAATACTGCTTGTCAACGAGTCACCGCCTTGTTTCGTAAAAGGTGGAAAGCAGTGCAACAAGGGTGTGTGAACGATTGTCTGACTTTAACTGTCAGTTCCTTTTTGTCCAACTCTGAAAAAGTACTTTGCATGATTTAGAGCTGAATTCTACAAAAAGCAGGTCTTTAAATCAGCAAAATAAAATGTCTCAGTTACCCAAATAAGCTCTGTAGCATTCAGCATTCACCTGAATTTCCTTTATCACTTTACAGATTGCCTGGGGAGCATGTGCGCTTGTGCTAACAGGTAACGTAGTCATCTTTGGGACGATCCTGGGCTTCTTCCTGGTCTTTGGATCCAACGATGACTTCAGTTGGCAGCAGTGGTAAAACGGCAGCTGGAGGGGACCTTAGTCTGAACTGTTTTTATTAGCGTTACAATTATTATTATTATTATTATTATTATTATTATTATTATTATTATTATTACTACTACTACTGTTATGGTATTACCGTTCTTGGTTCTTGTTGTTATTTATATGATGACCGCCCATCCATAGACTCACATCAAACCAGTGCAATACTTTTTTTTTTTTTTTTTTACCACTCACATCATGCTGAACTGACACAAGTGAGATGGAAAATGCTGACTTTCAGTTGGATTTTTTTCCCATTTTTAAGTTTCACTCTTTCTGACTTTGTGCTGTGAGTCTTTGTTTTCCATCTTCTTGTATGTGTCCACTTTTATTTAAAGGATTACAAGCTGGTGAACAACTTTTACAGTGTAGTATCTTTGAAGATGTGTTAAAAAGATTTCAAAATGAATGACCAAAAGGATACGGTCAGTAATGTCTGGCCTTCTTTTTGCAATTAAAAACACTGGAAGGAGCTTCTTCTTTGTGAAATTAATGTAAGTCAGCTGGAAATTGAGGAAAAATCTGCACAATATGAGCCAAAATTTCATCAGACACGTCTCTGTTTCATACAGGTCTTACTGGATTTGAGTGTCAACAGTTCAGCTGATATAATGCAGGCTTTTCTCAGCTTTCAGTCAGTAAAATGTGAACAACACTAAGCTTGAGTGTTCTTGTGAAAGCAGCGGGCTGTTATTGCCACCAACAGTACCTAACATGTGAACTCCATTATGTGTAAATGTGATATAAATTTTTCTCATGACACAAAGTGAGGAGGTGGTGTTCAGGAGCAGTGTGCAAGGATTCATTTTAAACTCCCTCTCTATCACACCAGAGATCAAATTAAACTGACTTAGTGATTTCCCAGGTGCAAACATGGCGGGCTGCTTATTCACCAGGTTTTTCTGCATCCAATTGGCTCGTATTCCAGTTTGTGTGAGTTAGCGTTTTTCTGTTAGGTCAAGAAAGCATGCAAAGCCAGTAGCAGCCGCCAGCTAGCATTGGATTAGTTCAAGGACAGCAGCCTTGTTGGAAACTCGGCCAAGCTACCCTAAGAGCCAGGCTACTTATAACCGAGGCCCAGTCAGTCATTTAACAGCCTTTAAGCTTTTGAATGCGACTCCCTCAAAGTGAAAGAATCCAGTGACTTTGCTCTGCATTCCAGCTCTGGCACATACTGTATTTCCTCACACCAGCAAAACAAAAAAAGAACAAAAAAACACACCGTATGATTAAAGTTTGAAAGTACTGGGTCGTGTAAAAAAAGTCTGCATGCTGGTTTATGTAATTTGCTGCAGCTTCTTGGTAATCAGGGCCTGCAGTCAGTCAGGTGCAGCGCCTCAGACTGCTGTTACATTTAAACTGCATTAGTAGTGACTAAACAAAGAGTAAAGCAAATGCTACCCTGTAAAGAACTGCAGTGACTAATGGAGCTTCAGGTGTGTTTTGTTGCTTTCTTTGGGTTTTTTCTTTTTGGTTTTTTTGTTGTTTTTTGTTGTTGTTTTTTTTGTAGATGGCACTGTTTGAAAATCTCTGAGTTTCTCCAGCCATTACAAGAATCAAATGTTTTGTTTCCATGCAAATTTCCAGTGGACATCTTCACACGTTTTGGCCGTCAATCAGTTTAATTTCCATATTTAAATCTTATTTTTAGGGTTTTAGAAGCACACATCCAGCAAATAAAACAAACAGTCCTACAGGAATTGTTTAGCATTTTGGTGAACTCGCTCACATGTCTTGCATATGAAGCTAGACGTGATTGATTGCTTATCATAAGAACTTTCACAGGAGGACATCTGGGCTCTGAAAGAAAACCAAGCCTGTCAACAAGTCCAAAGTTCAGCATTAATCAGAATTTACTGAATTTGTTTTAATCCATACAACTAAAGTTTAAAGCTATTTGTGATTTTAGAGTTAGTTTTGAGCTCTAACTACTCTTTGTTAAGAAATATTGGTAATTTTGTATTTTAGTTTAATTTCCCTTTACTTACAATTTAAAAAGTAAACTTTAGGTATTTTAGCAGAGCTGTATTATAGCTGTGTACCCCTTTGTTCCAGTCTTTAATGGTCAATTAATTAGATCTGTATTTGAGCTTTGTCAAATCAGACTTTGAGTATGACTCTTACAGTATTTCCTGCATAGTCAAAGACCGTCCAAGAAAATCATTAGGAACCATTTGAGTGACCCTCTGGCTGAAATATATGGGCTGACTGACCTTTGCTGGGTTAATTTGAACTTGTGATCACAGAGCTCATATTTCTGGCCTTCGTTCAGCCCTACGAAAGATACAAATATTTTTAAAAGCAACACATTGACGGCAGATTTTTGTTTTATGTTAAAAACATGCTTTAAAATGTACTACTGACATGATTTGTGCGTATCACGATGTAATCCCATGAACGAATCCTCTGGTGGTAGTCTGTGAGCCTGTCTGTGGTTCAGACAAGCAGGGTAACTCTGCGTGGTGTTTCTGGGATGTGCGCATCTGTATGACACGTTTAGCTAAACGTGTTCTAAATGTTCTCCGATTTTCTGTTTTGTAGTCTGCCGTTAATTCTGAACTGTCAGTCTGGCGTGAAGATGTGGGATTATTCTTAGGTTTCTCTCACAGATCTTTGAAGGATGTTGTATTTATTTATTTGACTGAATGCTTTGTGTCAAGGTTCAACGCCATTTTCTATCTCAATTGTTATGTTGAAGATGAGGAAGTCAGCATGGTGGTTTCTTTTTTTTTTTAATAAACGCCATTTTTGAAAGTCTTCTTCATTTGAATGACTACAGATGCACTTAGCACAACTGTATCAGGTGGAGAGATGCTGATTTGTCTTCAGAGGGAATAACTGAGTGAGTTAGTGATGTTGTTAAGAGACGCTCATGAGTGTGAGGGGAAAAAAAACAGCGAAAACGTCTCATAAACCCTCTGTAGGTTGCAAGAATAGTATTCTGATATGCTTAACATTTCCATAGTTATTTTTAAAGACACAGAAACACGGACTCCGATGTCTTCCAGTGTCTTATTTTTGTCTAACCTACTGCACAAAATCCCCCAAATATCCGGTTCACTCTTGTGTAAAATAATAAAAAGAAGAAAGGTGTCACTCCTCAGAAGTTTGGTAAATATCTCCTGCTTGCTTTAATAACTTATCAAAAAAAATCTCCCAGTTAATTTTCTAGCTCTGCAGTTATGAACACAAATTTTGATAGTGGCAGAACTTTTTGTTTCACTTTCACTTTTTATTCAGATGCATTCAGATAATCAAATCCTGATTGATGGCGATCCATGCGTGGTTATCAGTGCTCCACATTGATCACTTTGTTCTTCTTCTGCCTTTTTAGGCCTGATTGTAGATCCAAAATGGAGATCTCTGAGCCTCATAGCTATCTGCTACATTTGCTTTGGGACATGGTTCTCCATTATGGTGGAAAATGTGCAGATTGTCACCAGAAAAAGCAAACTAAATAAATAATAGTACCAGTTAATTAATTAAAATATCAACTTATTTTGATTATGTTTTTTAAAATAATTTCAATATTTTATTATTTATTATTTTCGTGTTCCTTTGCTGGGCTTGTAACAAGCTTTGCGGCTGTCTTCATTTTAAATATCCATGAATGTAAACCTAATCCAAAAAATGTCTTCGATTGTACGCACAGGGAAGTGGCTCTTAGAGGCAGTGTGTCTCCCTCTGGTGGCGGAAAAACTGGACCACAGGTTCGAGAGCGAACCACAGTCCCCTCTCGAGGTGTCCAGCTCTATTATATAAAGCAGGAGAAAGGATTTAGGAAAATAAAGACAAAGCGTCTCCTTTATGAGCACCAATGCGCCGTGGCCTCACACCGCTGAAGGTAAATTTGTCCTAAAAAGTTCAAGACTTCCTGTACATGACCTCAAATAAATGGAAAAGCTGTGTATCACTTACAGAGAAGGCTTTTCCATGTTGTATGTAAAGTAAATAACAGTCAGTGACCTGAACACGCTCACCTTCACCAAGGCTGCACAGTCCTCTGGATTTTTTTACTTGCTAGCAACAAAATACTGAAAACATAGTGAGCTCATCTCCATGGCAATATATCAAACCTAAACCAACACATAGACACTTTAACAGAATACATTTGATAAAGTTCTAGATTTTAATGCAAATTCATGGGATTTTCCTTTATTAAACCTCTTATGCAGTCATGTATAATAAAGCACTAACCTGAGGCTGCTGCCATAAAGACTCCTGTCTGCTAGATACAACATGCCCAACCTCTTCAGCTCAGCCACTGCCTCGGGGGAGAACTTCACAACACAATTTGCATATAAAATAAGATCAGCCTTTTACTTTGTGCATGATGCAAACTTTAGTTTTCCCTCTTTATTCAAGTAGCAGCCCAGATGGCAAGAAAATCCACAGAGAGACACCGCAGCAGCACTCGCTTCCATGTTGTGACAACAGCAGCTTGTTTTAATGCTGAAACCTGCCCCTTGTAGGTGTGCACCAGGTATAGGAGTCCTCTTTAAGACCTTCAGGTAAGGTTAAATATTGCGGGAAATGTGCACGCTATGTCCTCTCAGACCATGTGGGACACACCCGCCCTGCCCCGAGGATCATGGGAAGGCGGTTTTAGGTCTTTCAGGGAGCAGATGAGACACAGATGATCATGAGGCGGTTTTTCCGAGCACACCGGGACGAGGACTTCAGTCAGATCCAGTATCTGACGGCCAAGTGCACCCGCCTAGCTCATGACAAAGGTAAGTCACAAAGGTCAAGACGGGTTCAGCTGACTGTTAATCTCTTATCTACATGAAAACTGCTAGTTTACTACAAAGGGAAAAAAAACCCTCTTCTCCCTTCAGGAAGGTTATAATGTTGAGTCCACTGAGGCGTTCAGATTATAGTCAAGTAGTAGATCAGATGAGCAATGTCTATACAGCTAACAGTTTAAATAAGATGGAAATTAATATTTAAAATGTCATCAGAACTGCAGAAAGTGCTCCCATCCTTTTCTTTAGTCAAAGTACTGCTGGCTTTATTATCATGCTTTGCTACAAGTCAAAGTCCTGCACAGAAAAAGTTGCTTAGTATAATTATGTGACTGTTGAAAATGGAAGTGCTGCTGCTTACTTATAGATTCATGGGTTTTTAAAGATTGTTTTGTTTGTAAAAATAGTAAAGATAATAAACAAATGCCCGTCACAAATGTCCATAGTTAGACTTTACTAATAAATCTGAAAAATAAAGTAATAATAATTTGAAAAATGTCTTGGAAAAAAAGAAAGAAAAACTACATGAAACATGGCAAACATGTTTCAAAATATAAATTGATTAGCTTCAGTTTAGCTTAATTTCTAAACTTAATTTAGCTCAGTTTATAAAATGTATCAATTTTATTTTACACTATGATAAAGAGCATATGCTGAATGCATATTAATACATTCTGCATTCCATGTATAGGAACAGTCTGACCTGCTGTTTCATCTATTTATATGTAAATATCTCTTTATGTGCTGTTGCACTGTGTGTGTGTGCAGTGGAATCCACTTGACCCAGAGTCAAATTTCCTGAATGGAAAAACACGCTTGCCAAATAAACATCAAATTCAATCGAAGGTCACAGGTTTGTTAGAAGAACCACACATGTTTTGCGTGAAAAGAAATACTTTCATCTTTACGCTGTCAAGTAAAATGTGACGAACTAAAACACTGATCTTTAATGAAAACAGGCTTTATTGCAGGGTCGCTGCATTAGTTTGAGCCCGGTGTTCTTAATAAACAGAAAACAAAGTGCATGTTTCCTGCAGCAGATTACACTTTAACAGAACTTTATAGTCATTGTGCAACAGTTTCCAAGTCAATGCAGTCACAGTTACAGGGTATCTGACTAGAGCAAAGTTTATTTACAGAAATTTCTGGTAGTTTTTTTTAACATGTAATATAACTACAGTTTGTATTATCTGTTTTTATTGCAATCTGGGTCAGTGTTGATCTACTTAAAGCCCATACTGAGTTACAATGCACATTTACCTCTGTAATAAGATGTAAGAGTAGCGAGTGGTGACAGTGGTGTTATCTACTTTTTTAATTCAATTAAATTCCATGTTTAATTAAAATTTTATTCCATGTTATAAAATTAAAAGATATTGTAACAGGCTAAATCCTACATCAGTACTGATGTTAGTACTTGAGAGCCTTTCTGGTTGTGTGTTTATTGTTTTGGTATCATAAGGATTTAGAGCTGTACTGACATAAAAACTTAACAATGTAACTAAGTATATTTACTCAAGTACTGTATTATAGAAAAATATACTATAGAAAAAAATCAGAATGTAAGTATTATACTCTACAAAATTGTGCTACATTACAACTTTTTACTCCTTAAACATATCACACACAAAAATAAGTACAAGCAAAACTAAAACAATCAGTGGTTAAAGTTCACATCTTAACTTTGTTTTTAAATTTTATTTATTTATATTCATTTATTCTTTAAGAAAATGTTAATCCTGAATAAAAAATAATTTGTTGCAGCAAAAACAATTACTGAGCAGCTACATTAATAAAACTACAACAATTCAGAGTTTACTTACTTAATGGTTTAAATATAGAACTTTTAAATAACTGAGCTAATTAAGTATAACTGACGGAATCGGTATTTTTAAGTATCAAAAGTAGTCTATGCAGTAGATTTTCTGCTTGGTAAAACTGATGTATCAGTTTTTAAGCAGAATTTAATTATTACATTAAGTGCATTAAGTACTGCCATACATACTGGCGACTGTTATACAAACTACAGAGAAGTTCTGATACACTGTTAATATTTTATTTTTAAAATAATAAATTTATTTTTTAGTTAACTTACTTTTTTTTTAAAAAAAATTTTCCCGCACTAATCAGTTAATGAAATGAAACCATCAGTGATTAATGTCTTTGGAGTGATAAGTGTCTGCAGTACAAAATTGACTGTTTAACATTAAGTATTTAAGTAAAGTCAGCCACACAGTTACATCTAATGTGCTCAGTTTAACTAACTCTTCTTGGTTTTGTGGCCTCAGCGGTGTTGGACAGAGAGTTTCTGGTGTCCCGAGAGAGGGAGAGAAGGCTGCAGAATGATCTGGAAGCTGTGACCGCCCAACTCCTCAAGCAAGACCAGCTCAATATGGACCTCAGGATGAACCAGACCCAACTCATCAGCAGGATCCAGCAGCAGCAGGTGGACCGATTATGACTTATCTTTTACATGTAGACAGAACAAGGCTGTCTGCTATAAATGTTACATTTATATATTCAACATAGATCAAATAGAGTAAGTTGCTAATAATTTACTAATAAATACACCTTAAAGTTTTACCTTCACATCTTACTTGCACAAAGCTCTGAGGTATTCGCTTTCAGTTGAATCTGTAATCACTGCCACTTCCCAATAGTTCTTGCTCATTCATACGCTACTCATTTTACAGTAGAAGTGGAAATAAATTACATTTTGCAGGATGTAAGTATTTGTTGGATTGTATTTGTTACTTGGTTGAAATTTAAACTGTCACTGAGTGTTGCTGCTGAGTGACATCTGTGTATATCTATAGATTTTCTTATTGGTTGGTTTCTGTACAGAAATCTCTCTCTTTTAAATATATTGCTTCTAGTTTAAGTCTAGTTTAAATCATTTAAACTAGACTTAAACTAGTTTAAATATTCTTAAGAAGTAGTGGATAAATACAGCTTATGAAATGAATAGGAAACTTTCCATTTATCCACATAATCTGTACCTCTGACATCAACAAATCAGCTCATCTTTGCTGTCTGTTAGTTACAGTGGAATTAAGTTTACAGTAAATGTGTTTGCACATGGAAAATGCTGATGTTTTGGCATTGGTTACTTACAAACTGCATAAGTATGAGCTACAAGAAGTAAGAGTTTTGAACCACAGAGACATTTCACTGAACTAAAGAAATCTAATGAGCATCAAAACAGCTTTCTTGTCATATTAATTTCCCTGGAACTTCTAAAATTAGGTTAAAGTTGTTTCAGCAGCTTATCAAAGTGGTCAGAAGGATTATTTTTCATGCTTTTAGAGACACAAGTCATTTTTCAGCAGAGCACAGCTCAGCATTTATCCTGTGTCCTACTTTAAGGTTGCACAGTAACAAATTATCAGGCCTCTTAGAGACATCAGTGGTATTTATTACAGTTTTGGAGAGCTTGACTCCTTCACTTTCCCCTCAAAGACAGTATCAGGTTTAGGCTTGTCCCAAACTCTTTGACCTAAAGGTGTGTCTGATATCACTTATGCAGACTGTATTGGAGCATAGCATATCTCCAGTGAGATTTGAAAAGGATAGGAAGTGCTGAAGTGTTCATGTGAGCACATCTGCAGTATTCTCAGTATGTCCGTGTCTTCCCCGCAGGACCTGGTGAACTTGCTTCGGCAGCGCGTGGTCCTGCTAGTGGAGGCGAGCTCCCGGGATGCAGAGCTACTGCGGCAGGTCGGCGCAGAGCTGCTTTGCCTGCAGAGCTCTGAGGTGAAGCTGGAGAGCCTGGTGGAGGAGCTGCAGGCTGAGGCCCAACACAGAACTGAGGTGGCAGAAAATCTCCAGACAGAGCTGTACGCTGAGGCCCAGCACAGAGCTACACTCACTGAGAGCCTCCACGCAGAGCTGCGCAGGTAAATCTTCAGTCTCTCCAGTATGACAAAACACGGAATCATGTTTTCTTTCTTTACTTTACACAGTACAATTTGGTTTACGTTTACTTAGAAAAACTTGCAGAGGTAAGCCGCAAAACACACAATGAGTTCATGTAATATAGGAATACATTTTTTTAACTTTAAGTTAATACTCTGACATGCTCCAAAACAGACACACATTTAGACAGTGGAGGGGTTCGGAGACATGAAAGCACCTCCTGATGTTTGATGAAGACAGTAGTTTTGCATCTTTTTCACGTTGTTACATTTTCTTTGTGCCATTTTTATATTATATTAAGGTATCTTTGTATTAACTTTTAAATCTCTTTGTGGCCATTTTGCATCTCCTGTGGTAGTTTTGCATCTCTCTGTAACTGACACCAGCTAGTTCTGAAACAATTTATACGTTTTGTGTCTCTTTGTGGTCATTTTGTTGCTCTTTGTAATTGTTTCAAAACTCTTTGTTGTTATTTTTAATAGAAATCTTGGATTACTTTTTAACTTTATTTTCTTTTTGTGGTTGTCTGGAGTCATTTTTGCCATTTTTAACATACTAACATTTGACTTTAGATGTAAGAGGCTCAGGACCTCACGACTACTCTGGGCTTTAAAGCCGTCATTATAATGCTGTGTTCTTACTTCGTATTCTACACACAAAAAAATGGACTAATCCACTAATTACTGTGGGTGGAACAGTGGTACAGTGGTTAGCACTGTCACCTCACAGCAAGAAGAGTTTTAAACCCCGTCTGGGACCTTTCTGTGTGCAGTTTCCATTTTTTTAAAATTGCATAGCTCTGGAGAAACTACCTTAAAATAGCCGCCTGTCCTCTGTATTGCTGAATTGTTAATGACTTGATTAAAACCTTATCGACATTAAAACATACACAATGAACATTAACCCAGATAAGGCTGCAGACAGAAAAAGAAAAAACATTAAAACGGTTGACTTTTGATTACCATCTTGTGGAAACTGAAGCCAAGTAAAGCTGTCACGGGCTGCCCGGCACAGAGAAGAAAATTGTCTCAGACTGTTGTTTCAAGGCTGAACAAAAACATCGAGTCTGGACCCGCGACTTTAAATCAGCTGAAAAGTCCTCCGAGCAGCGGCGAGCTTCAGTCTGCTGACGTTAAATCCCTGCAGAGTGTCGGCTTAGTGTCAGAGTTTGTTATCACATTATGACTCCAGAAATACAGATGAAAGAAATTTGGGCGTTCGCAGAGAGCAAAATATTTACCCTAAAACTTTTATCAAGACCAACATGTTTCCTTATCTGATGGCTACAAAGAAATGAATAAATGGACTGTGAAAAAACAAAATACATCTAAGCACACTACGATAAGAGTGAGTATTTTAGTTACTTTAGTAATGTAAATTTTAAGTATGAGTGTTTATCTTACAGTAAACTTTACATTGATGAAAGATCAAATAAAGATACTAAAATTAAACTGGCTACAAGCAGAGTTTAATGAGCTGACACAGGTAAATAAGACATTTTTCTAATTGTCATCAACAGTAAGACAGTGGAGCTGGAAAGGCTAGAAGAAACTAACAGGATGCTGACAGAAGAGCTGACGGATCTCCGCAGAACTTATCAGAAGGAGGTGAGAAGGAAGAGTTTAGGACTGACGTGGGTCAAAGCTCAGAGTTTACTGCATATAAATTCGAAACAAAAGGCTGAAGGTGTAATATTTGTGGTGCAAAGACTCTGAAAAGTGTCTCTGAAAAGTCATGCAGAGACTGTATACAAAGGATGGACACAGCCACTGTGTTGCGAGGTCCTGTTTTGAACCATCGACTTTTTCAGGGTGGTCATCTTCATTCTTTGAAAGTAGATATCACAGGTGAGGGGGCAGTGAGGGGAAGCTGCACACTCATGACGTTAGTAACACTCAACAAGCTACTCATACCTTCCAAAACCTTCCATACTTTTAGTTCTCTTTATTGTGTAGCAGTTTACACATTTGCCAAATCTCTTCGGGGTTTGCGTCAGGAGGGGAATCTGCTGTAAGAAATCTGGATACAGTACGTTTTATTGAAATCGCTGGTAAATGTGCAGGTCTATATTTTGAAGGTAAAACTATTTTAAAAGTAGTCGGCACTTTCTCTCCAGCCTGAGCTCCTTTGGTAATTTGTTCCACATTTGAGCAGCTTCACCATGTTTTTGTTGAGTAGTTCAGGATGAGCCAAGCGGAGAGAGCTGCAGTGTTTGCACTGCGTCTGGAGATCTGATATGCGTCCTTACTGATGATTAGGATTTATGGAAAAAGCAAAAGTATTTTAAAATGATTCTCTGCTGTGATCTGAGAACTGTTAGATAAACACTGCTGAAGAAACAAACTCATATCAGGCCTCTGAAGCACTAAAGTAAATACTGCTGTCGGTAAAAGCAAACTGTCCATAGCATCATAACAAAAAGTACACAGTGCTTTATTAAACAAGAAACTGCAAGACAATAAAAAAAGAACGTTGAGAGGCTCATGGGTTTTGTCAGTTATGTTGATTGTTTGTTTTTAATGATCTTCGGATAGTGTGTCACTTCGACTTATGAGATAGCCTTACTGCATTTCCTTTCATAAAGGATGAGCCAGTGTGTCTTGTGGTAAAGCAGGTAATAAAGGAAGCATCAGAGCAACATTCCTTAGTATGTATATAATCTGACCAGCTCTTATTATGGCTGCTACGCAGATACTCATGGGTCAGTTCATTCAATTAGGAAAATTCATAAGCAAAATTGACCATAAACTGCACATCGAGCAAGTAAAGTAATTTCCTTATTGAGGTAAGAGCAGTCAAGCATTTGTACCTGAAAGGTGCAGCATGCAGGCAAAACAAGGAGGGCTCAGGACTATCACATATAACATCAAAATCCTCTATTCTTGGACCCTGAAAAGAACCACCCTCTAAAACAACCTATTAGCTGTACATGATGGGAGAAATCTCAGCAGAAGCACCGGGGGAGACATCCCTTCATCAAGGCAAATGCTGCTGGAAAAGAAAAAAAGTGTAAAATGCAAGACTTTGGCTAATGAGGAGGTTCAATAAAATCATCAGTTTAGTGATTGCAGTGCTGATTTTGTCCAGCAGATGTCAGGATCAGACACTTATTTAAACACTGCTTTGGCCTTTTTTTGGGGTTGAAACACAAATAAAACTGTTGATGAGTGACAGAGCTTTAATGAATTTGCCGTGAACGGGGATTATTTCTCTGTAGCCGGCTCCTCCAATCAGAAGTAATGGATTAACACTGTTTGTGCGGTCTCAGGTTACTTCAGGTCAGTGTGGCAGAGTGCCAGCTGTGAATAATGATCTGCCGCTGGATTCCGAAAACCTCACGGTTCAAATTTATGTACTGTGTCCAAATTTTAAAAACTACAACCACCCAAGTGAGAGCACTAATTCAGATGTTGCTGGCATTAGGTCTGCATTGGTGTGTGTCGGTGTGTGTCAGTGTGTTGGGTCCAGGCATTAGCGGAACATTCCTCATTTATTTACACTCGGCTTCAAAGACTCACTCCCGCATTGGCGTCTGCTTCATCCAGTCCATCAAACAGCAAACAATCCAGGTCTACAATTATCTTTCCTTTGAGACATCTCCACAAGGCCAAGAGAAGAGAACAACAGACTGCAGAGTCAGTGAGAAACTTCATGAGAACAATTATTTGCAGGGGATGAGGCCTGTAAATTATTGTGAAAGGCCTGGGAGCAGAAGATTAAGCCTGACTCCACTGGACCCGCTCATCTTTCCACATGACATGTCGTCTTTTCCTGATTTATATTTACACGCCCACATCATAATTTTCTAATTTTGTTGTCTTGGTCACATCCTGGTTTTGGGAGAAATATATTTATTTATTTGTATTTTTTTTTTTTTGAGGTGAGGGAACTGCAGCAGGAAAATGAGGGAAGCCTGAGGAAACTACAGGAGACGGCAGAGCAGTTCGAGTGGCTTTGTCAGCAACAGCGTTACTGGATGTCTTGTGTGAAGAGGTGAGTAGGGTTCTTTTTTTGTTTTGCTTTGTTTTTAAATATATCTCAGCTGTGTGTACCAAAAAACATAACAGGATCAGATTTTAAAGTCTTTATTGTCTGCACACATGCTCAAAGTTGATGTAAACGAAACCCTGAAAACCCCTTCTTAATATAAATAATGTGGTTCTGCATAGAAAATACATTTGTAAATGATTATTGGAAAGGAGACTTATCTACTTGCGTTTTTATCTAGCTGGAAGTGAGTAAAGTTCTGATTTCTTATAATATACAAAGCATCTACCAGAGTTAATGCATGTCAAATGTGATTAAAATAAACAAGCAAACTATTCCAGTTGTTTAACTGACTGTCATTTACTCAGACACAATTATTTTTTATTTGTATAGAAATACTTGATTTATTCTAAACAGTGATTAAAGGTACTTTTTGCAATTACCTTCTGCAAATGTCATTAAACATTTCACCACAAGATGGCAGTGTTTTACCAGAAAGTTACCAGAAAACACAACAAAAGTGTGATAGTAACAAGAATTCTTTAAAATGTTGCGTGAATACTGCTGTAATGGGTGTTTTTGGACTTAAATCGGATTAGACACTCAGTGCACCATCATGTGGATCAAAGTGGTATTACAAGAGAGCACAGCCCATCCTGATTTCTTGATATCACTGCAACACAATACAAAGACATCAATAGATGTAACATCATAGCTGTTGTTGAGAGATTTGGATGAATTTAAAAAGTTTTTAAACTATTTTTTAAGCATTAACATCTTTGATCTGTCTGTTTTTTGTGGCAGAACTACAAAGCTACCTAAAATTCCCATGGTATGATTTGGCCTTGTTATGATGTTACTGGTAGCACTGTGTTAGTATGAGCTACACATACTCACAATAAGCAGACACAGAGGGACCTAATTTACTTTGTAGTCTGCTTTCTACCCATCTTATTTACTTTAACTCCGTCTTCACCATCTTCTCTGGGGAAAAAAACTTCAAAATTCAATTCCCAACAAGCCTCTGACTGCATCTTTGTGCTGCCATGCAGGTTGGTTTGTCACAGCTGAAAACAGCTGTCTGCACCAGCTGGAAACAGCAGTGAGGGTGCACCACAGCACATAAGCTGCTGCAGGTCGTAAAACTGAAACAACATGCTTAAAGGTGCTAAAATGCATGCCAAATATCCTTGGGCAAGATACTAACCCCATGTTTGCCTACTGGTGGTGGTCAGAGGGCGCGGTGGCGCCAGTGTCCGGCAGCCTCGCCTCTGTCAGTGCGCCCTAGGGCAGCTGTGGCTACAATGTAGCTTGCCATCGCCAGTGTGTGAATGTGTGTGTGAATGGGTGAATGACTGAATGTAGTGTGAAGCGCTTTGGGGTCCCTAGGGACTAGAAAAGCGCTATACAAATGCAGGCCATTTACCATTTACCAAAATGTTACGGACAAGAGATGTGGAAAGAGTGTTGTAGCTTCCAAAAATGTCACAAAAACCTCTTTTTAATACTTTTATATGTCTCTTGTAATTAAAGAAAGACCAATAAGTTGAGATAGAGGTCTGACAGCTGAGTTTGCTAGAAATTAACTAAGTACTATAGTGTATGTGGGTAGGATACCACTCATCATCATGCATTTAGGTCACAGAAGTAACCATAAGTTTCTTTAAAAGTTAACTAACCAGCAATGTTTGTTCATCAGTCAGAAAGCTCTGCTAGAATCCCCGAAAGCCCTTCTAACACACTGGATGATATTTTTAAAGCATCTCCCATGTTTCGCCTTTATAACTGAAACAAGAAACATTGCAGCCTTAAGGAATCACTTAAAATCTGTTTTCGTGAGTCACTAGATCAACTTTATACAAAAAAATAGAGATTGATGATTCTTGAAGAAAGTTAAGTGCTTTCAAACATCTCCCCTCTGTGACCCAAATGTTTCCTGTTAGTGTCCCAGCCTTAGGCCCCAGAATTCCTCACATTAAACTTTCCAAAAGATTAATACAGATTTCATGTTGAGGATAAGTTGGATCGTATGACAGTCTGTCAAGGACAGGGTAAGAAACTGAATTGTATTGTTCTGTTGGTCTGGTGTTTACATCAGAGGAATTTTGACTGAGAGCGTAAATGTGCATTTCCCCCCCCTATCTTTTCACTTCAAATTGATACATTGATATATTACAAGCCCCTCTCCAGAAATTTCTAATGCAATCAGTACAGGTAGTGCACATAACTCATATTCTGGGCCCTGCTTATGCACATTGCATTAGACACATTGGCAAACTCATATCCAAAGCAGCTAAAATTTAGAAAGCACACGGGGGTTCAACATCTTGCTTTAGGACATTTTTACATGTGGATAGGAAGGTCTGGAAATCAACCCTACAATTTATAACCCCCTCCTCCAGCCAGGCTACATGCTGCTGCTGCTTCCTTTATAGATTAATTAGCAAATATTTAGAAACTCGTGGGATTATGTACGCTGTGCTCGAAGAGTTGCTGAGTTATCATATTCTACAGGTTCAAAGACTGCCTCATGGAGGAGAGAGAAGCTCTGCTGCGACAGGTCAGCAGGTTGGAAAAGAAAGCTGAGAAACTAAAGCGTTCACACGACGGCAGTCCAACACGGAGACTTGTCTGCCCCCTTCAGGACGCCGAGGGCTGTGACAGGTAGTGATAGATGAACAGATTTAATGAGGAACTAGTTCATTATTATCTGAGTGTCTTTTTCAACTTTTACTCACCTTATAACACATTTAAACTTCCTGTCTCTTAAAGCAGTTTAATATCATGGGAGGCAGACACAGTGACCAACCTGGAGTCTCAGGTGGAGAAGTCAAACATGCTGTGCGAAGAGCTCCTCGACCAGGTATCACTTTAATTTTTTCTTCCTGAATGGTTTTCTTATCGAAATTTGCTGCAGAAGAAATCTTCTCACGGCAGCTTAAAGGTTACTCAAAATGTCTCCACGCCTGTTCGGTCTCGTGAAATCTCTGATGACACGTGGAAACCTTGGACGTGAAACATTAGACCTTCATTACAGTGCCAATATTCATTCGAGTATGGTTGCCAGTCCCCAGAGGAGCTGCCGTGCTGTCAGTTCTTCCAGAAATTACAAGTGTGCTTTGGATAAACGTGTCTAACATCTCTGCTGTGGATCGTCTAAAGGGCACACTTTAAGGTACCTGTGTGGCTCTGTTACTTCTCATGTGTGGAGCACGGCGGTGATTATTTTCTGTAATAATGTTATGAGAAACTGAAGTTTCGTGGCAGCTCGAAGTTTCGAATGCTTGCTGGCTCTCTTCGCGTGTCACTGCAGCCCTCAGATGAACCTTTATTTTACGAAATCTGGTGGTGATCTCAGGACTGAAATAGAAGACATGAAAAAAGAGAGCTAACATTCATCTGGATGTGACTGCCAGTCCCTGAAGGAATTGTCAAATATCCAGGAGACTCACAGAACCACAGTCTAATAATTGTTTTTTACTTTTTATGGTTGAGTAGTCTTCAAGTATTCAGTCAGTAACCGCTGCGCGTTCCCCAAATAACCAAGTTTACATACATACAGTTCTAGTGTCCTCTTCATGAAGAAACTGTGACAGTTGGCATAATATGTGCATGTAAATGTGTGCTTGTATTGTCACTTTTACCGACCTTTCTAATCTAATAATACACTGTAACTCAGTGTATTTCAACCCAAAGCACCATCCTTCCTTGAATCCTTGTATTGGGACCCTTGTGGGGGCAGTCAGATGTACTGCCTCCTAGGTCAACAATCTCTGCTTAAACACTTCTGTATGGAACTACAGAAAAAGGTCCAATTTAATCATATAGATGGAGTTCTTGTTGGCTGCTAAACGTAAAAGTAGGCTGTTTGAACAATCGGCTCGTGCTGTGCTTTCTTTGGGACACCTGAAACATCGGCTGTTTCCTTTGGCCTTAGAATTCACGAACCAGTCTGTAGTTTCCCCCCTTTCCCCCCCTCCAATGTCACCTCTATCTCTACAGCCATCTTTTCAGGGTTTCGAAATATTTGGATCAAAAACAAGAGCAGACTCGTGTTGAAATATTAGAAATCCAAACCATATTCATCTGGTCACAGCTGCCAGTCCGCTGTGGGCTCATTGCAGTGCCAGAGAGTTTTCCAAAAGACTCTGAACATTCATGTGCACTGAAGTATCATCAGTGTTTTTAAACATGGACACACGAGTCTGTACAGCAGTCTGCATGCATATAGGAGGACTAAATAAGCCAAAAAACAGAACATTGAAAAAATAACAATCTGGGTAAAAACTGGATTTACAAATATCCACTCAGCACATAAAGTGGAACCATTCAAAGTTTTAGAAAGTCACCCTGCAGGACTGCTTCCAATAATAACTGATGACAGTCGTTGACTTTTTAGGTCTTTGGAGAATCCAATAGTGAAACACATCTGAAAAAGTTGGGGTAGCATAACCAATGTAACAGATGAAAACAGATAGAAATAAATTAGTTATGATTATAGGCGGTATCTAAAAGATGGTGTAGGCACAGTGACCTCACCCACTGACTTCTGGATTTTTCCATTTTGAACCATCAGCTTTAGTGTTTTTGGTCACTGCCATGTTGTTTTTGTTTAAATGATGTTGTTGAACCATCTAAGCTATCTCCTTGTAACTTGCTCTTAAGATGGGAACCAGGTGTGCAACCACTTGCAATCAGTTGTTATCGTCAAACCGACTTTGAATGTAAATAGTTGGCAGCAGACTGTCTCACTGGTGTTTTATCACTGTCTTAACACACCGGAGTCCAGTAAGACCTCATAGATTTTGAAACAGAAATTCCTCCACAAATAGTGACATAGTTGATGCAGAGCGGCAATTTAACTGCAACACGGCACAGGTGCTTGGTACCCTTGTATTTATACAGGAATATAACCACAATGCAACCAGTTGGTAACCAGTTTGGTTGAATATTGCAGACAAGTTGCATTCATTGACACAAACTCACTCAAACCTTCACCAGTCTGTCTCAGAGTGATTGTAGTCAGTCTGAGACAGACTGCAATTGCCTCCCACCAGGCAACCCATGCAGTCGCCTTGCTATCGACAATAGTCACCTAGAGTCTGAAGATGATGCATTTCAACCTCTGGGCGATCAGTTATTTGCCACAACTGCTTGAAAACTGGTCACAAAATGTGAAAAAATGCAATGCAATCACCAAACCAGTTGTTCGAAGGGAGTTCTTCTTTCCCACTACCTAATTTTTATGCACTGAAAGTTGCAGCTTAGTTTATGACATGTTCATTGCATATTGGATTTAATCAAAGTACCAGTTTAGATTGTGTTAGTAGTTTTTAATTCTTTGTATAACTGGGGCTTTTATTATTTTATTTATACACATCCATAGTATGCTACACTCAGAACTGAGTACACACAGTTTTCTGTTGTTGTTGCTGTGATGGCATTGATAGGGGCATCACATTTGCTGAATTTTCTGAAATGTCTTTGATGCAAATCGCTGAAAAGCTGAATTGAAAGAGGAAACTTGTTCAGGAGGATTCATATGTCTGACGTGTTGTGTTTGTTAAAGTTTAACATTTTGAGAGATAAGCTTATTGGGTTTATTTTCAAGGGTTAGTTGAAAGCATTGAAGCCTCTTTCTATTGAATATGAAGCTGGAGCGAGCAACTAGTTAGCTTAGCTTAGCATTCAGAACCGAAATACAAGGAAACAGTCTAGTTTTGTGCGCAGGTAGCATAATCTACCACTGGCTTTTCAGCTTACTTAGTATTGTGTTTTATATTGGTTGTTTAATCTATAAAATAAACAGTGTGAAAACAACAAATATGTCATTACTGGGATGTTTTCCATCACTCAGCAGATTCACCAGTGAGTCACTGCTCCAAGCCAAGAAAAGTCCTCTGCTTAATACCCATAAAACCAGAACGTTATGTTTTTCCAGTTTAGTTTTTCCAGTCTTTATGCTAAGCTAAACTAACCATATTTCTCCTGAGTGTATTCATTTGAAGAGCAGTGTGCAGATAGTAGCAGCCTTGGGATTGTTTGAAAGGATTCTGTAAGAGTGACCAGTGTAATGTTTTAAAATCTTTGGATAAAAGAAGAATGCACAACTCAAGAGCAAAACAGACATTCAAAACAGCGATAGTCATGTGAGGATGGCTGCCAGTCCCCTGTGGACTTGCAGAACAGCCAGAGCATTCATATAACTGATACTTCATGGGTACCAGAGTCTAATCAGTGTTTTGTTTTTCTGTCTGCAGCATGCTTTAAAAAGTTAGAGGGCTTTGAGGAACTTGAGGTTTCAAAGCCATTTTGCAATCAAATAGGAACCCCACGATGTCTCACAAAGAAGTCCTTCAGGAAGAACTCACAAATCCTGACAGGACCTCAAACACTTCATCCTCCTGCAGGATTTTTATAGTGGAAGGTGTCTGCCTGGCCACTTTGGGGATTTTTCAAAGCCCTCACATCTTCAGAATGACAAGTTCAGTGTTTTAAAAAATGGGGATAAGAGGAAGCCTGACAGACAGAACATAAGGCTAATAATCGTGTGCGGATGGCTGCCAGTCCCCCAGATGAGCTGCCAGGCTGCCAGAGACTTCAGAGGTGGCTGATATTTTTTGGGCTCCGGATTCACATCAGACCTTTTCACTGTCTGTCTGTCTGTCGGCTGCACATGGCTTCCTCCCAAGCCATTCGAGTCCTTTTCCAAAGCAGCAAAGAGATGACTAATAATGACTGGAGGGAGGTGATTGCCAATAGCCTCTGTGCTTCATTCCCCTCACCTCTCACAGACTCTGCAGTGCATTTCTTGGGATAATTATTCTGATTGAGTGCAGATGATGCAGAGTGGTTTTTTTTTGCAGTCCTTGCTGAGCTGAGAGAGGGAAGAAATTTAGCTGGAGGAGCAGGGAGCACCGGAGTCATAGAGGAAACAGCCATGAAAAAACACATTACCAGCTCTGACATGATTTATACAAATGGGAGATTCACATTGTGTAGACATAAGTATTGTTAGATGACAGAAAGAGAAAAGGAGGACGCTTACTGTTCATTGGGCTGACATCTGCAGAGATAGAGAGATGTGCTATTTCAGACAGAGTGGTGCTGCTGAAGTACAGGTGAATAAAAAAGTCTCAAATACTTGGCTAAATATCAGTGTGAATCTTCTTCTAGTGTTTAGATTAAGTAACTTATTGAGAGACCAATAAGTCTAACTCTGGTTCTCTGGGTAGTTTTGGAAATATAGGAGAAGATACTCTGCCTTTAAAAAAAGAAACCCTTTTAAATCAGAGTATGGCATCAACTCAGTTAAAATTCTGGGATATTGATCTGTTCAGTTGAATAACAGAGAGGATTGTTAATTCAATTCTGGTTCTTTTGTGTTAATTAAATTTACAACAGGTCCACTAGATGTGGAACAATGAGACAACCCCAAAACAGGAATGGTTTTACAGGTGGAGGCCACCGACCATTTTTTCCTATTGCTCAGTATCAATACGTCAATACATGCCATTGCAAGGTTTGCTGTGTCTCCCAGCACAGTCTCAAGATCACAGAATATACCTGATACCATGTAGTCTGATTGGCATTTGCCACAGAATACCATAATTGGCAGGTCCACCACTAGTGCCCTGTGCTTTTCACAAATGAGGGTAGCTTCACCTTGAAGACATGTGACAGATTTGAAAGGACCTGGAGAAGCTGTGGAGAACGTTATGCTGCCTGTATCATCGCTCAGGGAGGGACCACGGAGGGATGCACTGACCTCTACAGACTCAGCAAGTGGCATCCTGACTGCTATTAAATATCGGGGTGAAATCCTTGGCCCCACTATCAGACCATATACTGGTGCAGTGGGCCCTGGGCTTCCTCCCGATGTATGACAAAGCCCGACCTCATGAGGCAAAACTTTACAAGCAGATCCTGGAAGATGAAGGAATTGATAACACTGACCCCCACGCACATCTGACCTAAATCTAATAGAATGCCTCTGGGACATTATGCTTGTCCATCTGACGCACCAGATTGCACCTCAGACTATCAGGAGCTCAGTGATGCCCTGTCTAGATCTGGGAGGAGATCCCCTAGGACACCATAGGAACAAGTGCTGAGTGCCATTTTGAGTTTTGAATTAAATTACAAAGCAGACTAACCTGTTATATGTACAATTGCGTGTTTTGGAAAGCTGCAGAGAGCTTGCACTTTTTGCTATAATATATGCTGCTTGCAAGTAGATTTGCTTTTTACAATCGGTGTGGAGAATACACAGAGTTATGACAGCCACATTAACAGGGAAATACAGCTGGTTAAAATAGAAATATCCCTCAGTCTCACTTTTAGCATTCATTTCCAGCCATCCTTTGACCTGTACTTACTTTCTTTGAGGTTTTTTCTCACTCTCCATTCCCTTCTTGTGCACTCTTATGTTTATTGTCTTTGGTCATCTTCACTTACATTTTATTTTTCTGCCCTCAGGCAGGGAGCCCTATCGACGGATACCAAAAACCTCCATGAGGACAGAAGCCTGGATGTCTTTGCTTTCTTTTCTCACTTTCTGCAAGCCAGGAGATGCAATGTTTTATGTGTTTGTGGTTAGCTTACCTTCCAGTCATTGTTTTGAAAAACCAAACACCCTTGGAAAAACACACCCGTGAAACCACACACGCATTGTTTTGTTTCCACTATTGTTCATCGTGATATATGACCGAATTAAAATACAATGTGCTCCTGTCCCGCTTTTGGTGTCACACATGCACATCACATGTGCCTCGACTCTGTCTGGTCACATTTTTCAGTAATTGTCCATTGTTCAAACCTTGTAATCAACACCACTAACAAGAGCACAAGCACCTGCAAATGTTCTCTTTTGTTGTTTTGCCAATGAAACGTTGCAGGACAACCAGCAGCTGGCGTGCAGAGGAAGCAACAAATGTTCTTTCAACCAAAATGAAGCAATACTGATTATCCCCCCACTGGTACTGCTTGACTCTGATGAGCACATCGCTTCATTCATCAATTTGCATGTGGCTCAGATTAAACACGGTGACTCAGACGCTTTATCATATGTGAACCATATGATACATGCTTATTGCAAACGCAGTTTACACACGGTGAGCCAAGACATTTAAAGTATGCATTCTGTCACACCACAAACATTACACTGCAATCAACATGAGGAGCTACACGTTTATTCAGGACTACAGCAAACTTTCAACATGCATAAAAAAATCTTAACACTAAACCATTAATGACACAGGAAGCATCATTATATTTCATTGGCGGTGCTGGGACAACATTTTTTGTTAGCATGACAGGGGTTCGTTTGACAAACAGCGGACAAGATGTGTGATTTAAGTTTTGACTCCATGTTCAACAGGCTTTACACAAACTACACCACAGTCTCATAGCTTTAATGGCACGACCACCAAGCTCCTGCACTCAGTCCGATGATGCTGAATAGCAAACATTTGTTTGCAAATATCAAACATATAACTAAAACTTTGGGTATATTGCTACACATTTTATGTTTAAAGCTCACAACCAAAAACCTGCTGACTTCATGATGAGTGAACCATTAAAGTACTTACTGGTTTCAGGGCTTGATCCAGTATTTGAGGTAATCAATTTTTAGCCTGGAAATATCACTAATTCTCTATGTGAAATAAAAATTTTATATATATATATATATATGTTCATAACTTACATGATTAAGTTATGATTAACTTACATGATTAAGTTATGTTGGCCCATAGCCTATCAGTCCATAAATTTTACATGGTGTACTACAGAGGAGAGATAGTTGGGCCTATAAATTGTGTTATAAAAATGAAATTCTATATTTCAGAACTGGAGGACATATTCAACTAAATCACACCAGGACCACATCCATCTTGGAGCTCTGCCTTTGCTTCATTGTAAACCCCCAAATTGAAAGGTTTCTTGACTCTTTTGCTTAGTTGTTATGGTAACAAACTGACAGAAAAGGAAGTGACTTATTTGGTAGTTTATGCTATTATAGAATTCTTCCTTTTGCCAAATGAACGTATGCTCTTTAAAAATGAATTTATAACAGGTTACAAGCCTGTCTGACAGCAAATAAACCTCTAAACATCCATCTCAGTACTACGAAGCAGGACTTTCTTTTGTCCAGGTAACTTTAGGGAACCCTGGGTTTTCTGGTTCACTTCTTTCCAGGGTACATCGGGGGTAACTTATCCTGCGACCATAACCTATTCCAAAGCAGGTTATGTATGTAGGGATGTTAAGAGGTTAAAATCTACACTGAAATGTGTGTATTCAACATATAAGAGTAGAAACAATTTAAGGTTTCACGTAAACATTGCCACTAAAGTTTTAGCTACTGACATAATGATATTGATAACATCAGTGTCAATTAGAAACTGACGAAAAGGTTAGCTTTATGGAAATAAATAAATCACAAATACTTTTGCTAAAATTCAATTACATTTTTTTTACATATTTGTGGGATATATATTATGTAATCTTTTTGGATGTACTTGTTTGAATTTGAAAGGACCAAGACACACCTGGCAGATAACTAAAGACAGTACCAGTAACCAGAGACGGGCAGTAACGCGTTACGAGTGTGCCGTTAGTGACAACAGCTGTGTGCAGATCAACAATGGATCACATATCGATTGTGGGAGAGAGTATGAGCGTGCAGCGTTTAAAGCGTGGAAGTACTGACCTTACTTTGAGTTTGATTCCATAAAAAGTGACAAAAACATTAGCGTCCATCGTGCGTGGGAAGAAAACTTCTTTTTACAGCGAAAAAAACCCCCTAAACTTCCAAACAAGCACTGAGTGCACAATGACGTAATGGGAAATTCACAGAGAAACTCGCAGATTCTTCAACTGACCGCGGCACACCTGCACCAGGGTAAACCTCCGCCTACCGCAGTCCTGCTTTACAGGTGAAAATAGAGCAACAGGACCGCTGAGTCTTTGACTTTATTTATTTTCTGCTGTGTTTTACTTGCATCTATTTGAAAGAGTGAGTGTAAACACAAAAACTATTTCATTTTATGTGCTGGAATGTGCAGAAAATAGGTTTAAATGTTAAACTAATTTATTCAAGTCAGAGAATGTTGCATATAATTAAATTTTTGCTTGATGCATAAAGTTAAAAGATTAAAACTGATAAAACAAGTTAAAAAAGAGACTTTTCCATTTGATTACATTTTGTATGATGGATTATGCAGAAAAAGTAGAATTGGGCTGAAAGATCTATCGCTTTGTCACCTCTTCAGGTTGTAAATCGTGTTTTTAAAAAGTAACTAAGTAATTAATTACTTTTGAAAATAAGTAATCAGTAAAGTAATGGGATTACTTTTTTTGGAAAGTAATCAGTAATTAGTTACTGATTACTTTTTCAAGTAACTTGACCAACACTGCCAGTAACATATATAAGTAAGATCTATATTAATGCTTAAGGGTGTGTGTGGATAATGGATAACACTTTGTACCTTTTCAGGGGATGTAATACGATTAACCTTCGAGGCCGACCAAAACTTTTTAAGCAAATACTTTCTACTGACTCTTTATTTTTCAGTCTGAAGATTAGTTCAGCATCTTAGTCATCAACCAAAACACTGAATTTCATCACCTCTTCCTGTGTGATAATTAGACCACACACCAAAGTTAATCCTGCATATTGAGGTCGATGTACACTGAGGCTGACTTTGCATGAAGTTGAATCACAATCATTGTGTTCTTCATTTACTCTCCAACTGATGCCAGATGGGTCACACATCTATTAAGCACCCAACAGCAGGGGAATGTGAGGATTTAAAGAGGAGTTTGATGGGTCATAAAAGTGTAAATATCTTCGAAGAAGTACCTTGAAAAAAATGAAAAGCAAACCAGAGAAAAGGAAAAGAATCAACTCCTAACAAAGTGGCAGATTTTTTGTGAAAACACATTTACACAAAGTGGAGATACTGGAGTGAATACTGACGATGGATACTCATTGCTCAGGCATTAAAGTCTTTTTGTCATTTTAAATGATGAAAGAATATTTATGAACACTTCAGCCAAGTCTGTCTTTTTTTTTCTATTATCCATGTGATAATTAGGCAGATTTCCATTTGAGGATCTTATATGGTGGCATTCAAGGTCAAAGTTTCCCTTCATCCACTGGATGGCTTATAAATTTTGGACTTTTAACTGTGTACATGCAGCTATTCCTACTAATAAAAACTCCTCCGATGGCCATTAATACTACACCAAAGTAACTAAGTAATAGAAACAATAATATGAGAGAAAGGTTTGAAATTTCTACAGTAGATAGTGAAAAGTTTTTCAATTTCAGGCTGTTTTTTAAAAGGCCATTTGACTTCAGTAACCCAGGTTTAGAGACAGGTCAGTCACCCTCCTACCACCAGTTGCTAGGTAAAAATGTGGATTCCCTCAATGGTTGGCAAGTGGGTGCTGACAGTCACAAGGGGAAATTAGTAGCAAAGCGATATACAGTGATTGCTTTGGTCACTAGCAGATTGCAGTGGTCACCTGCTTTTTGTTGTTTCCAAGTGTTGCAGACGAGTCAGAGTGTTTAGATGCAAACTGCAGCAATGTGCAAGTGAACTCTCACGATTTCGTGTAGGGCAGATAGTGTGGAGAGAATGAATTGGACCCAAATGCAGAAAACAGAGAGATGAAGGTGGATGTCTAACAGAAAGTGAGCCTTTATTGTTGGCTGCACAAAACACTACAAAACAAAAGGAGACGGGGAACTAAGATAAACAAACAAACAAAAAAAAACCTAAATGAGAAAAACTAAACAAGAAACCTGAGACATAGAAATAGATAGAAAAAAACCTGGAAACGCAGAGGCAACATGGAGGAAGACATGCAGATGACAAGGAACACAGGAAAAATGCACTACAGGGAGTGCAGAATTATTAGGCAAATGAGTATTTTGTCCACATCATCCTCCTCATGCATGTTGTCTTACTCCAAGCTGTATAGGCTCGAAAGCCTACTACTTAAGCATATTAGGTGATGTGCATCTCTGTAATGAGAAGGGGTGTGGTCTAATGACATCAACACCCTATATCAGGTGTGCATAATTATTAGGCAACGTCCTTTCCTTTGGCAAAATGGGTCAAAAGAAGGACTTGACAGGCTCAGAAAAGTCAAAAATAGTGAGATATCTTGCAGAGGGATGCAGCAGTCTCAAAATTGCAAAGCTTCTGCAGCGTGATCATCGAACAATCAAGCGTTTCATTCAAAATAGTCAACAGGGTCGCAAGAAGCGTTTGGAAAAACCAAGGCGCAAAATAACTGCCCATGAACTGAGAAAAGTCAAGCGTGCAGCTGCCAAGATGCCACTTGCCACCAGTTTGGCCATATTTCAGAGCTGCAACATCACTGGAGTTCCCAAAAGCACAAGGTGTGCAATACTCAGAGACATGGCCAAAGTAAGAAAGGCTGAAAGACGACCACCACTGAACAAGACACACAAGCTGAAACGTCAAGACTGGGCCAAGAAATATCTCAAGACTGGTTTTTCTAAGGTTTTATGGACTGATGAAATGAGAGTGAGTCTTGATGGGCCAGATGGATGGGCCCGTGGCTGGATTGGTAAAGGGCAGAGAGCTCCAGTCCGACTCAGACGCCAGCAAGGTGGAGGTGGAGTACTGGTTTGGGCTGGAATCATCAAAGATGAGCTTGTGGGGCCTTTTCGGGTTGAGGATGGAGTCAAGCTCAACTCCCAGTCCTACTGCCAGTTTCT